GCTCGCGGCCCAGCGCTGATGTGGCTGCTTCCAGCACCAGAGGAACTGCTGGCAGCGATGTCCATTTCTTTCCCACATGGTGTCCAGCTCTCAGGAATCCGCCCTGTAGCTCTCAGTGCTGCGCCGTGTCTGCACGGACATGTCGCACACGGAAGAGCAACTCCACAGAAGCAGCAAAACAGAATTGCTGGTCACAGTCCAGGACTGTGTTACTGTGTCAACACTCCATTATTTAGTGCATATTAAAATGACAGCAAATAACTGACCCAACAAAAACAAATTTGCAAAACATTAAAAATACATTGACTACAACACATTACGTATTAAAGCTGAGAGCAGGCAGTCCTGGGTTTGAAACACAAACATTTTAAATTATTATTATTTGCCATTTAGCGCAGCTTACGGCCGGAATCAGGAATCGTAAAGGAATCACGGGTTTAAAGGTTTGTTTATTGAAATGTGGAAATAGTGCAATTGTTTCATCAGAAAAGAGCAGGAGACTTTTATATAAAAGCTCTGCTCACTTTCCGTTCTGCTGGTTGTGTTTACTATGTAGAAAGTAGAAAATGTATCGATTTAATCCGATATGGATGCGTGGTAACACTGCGTCCATACAGTTTGTCAGATTAACTCCCCCGTATCCCAGTTGTTTTGCACACAAATTAATCAGAGTTTTTTTACTCCCGCAGACCTGGATGAGTCGATGACTGTTTTTGTACACGTGACTCGAAAGACCGGAACAGTTACCACGTAAAACAAATAAATTCTGCGGACACGGTTTTCTCTTCCACGGGAGTGTAATCAGTTTAACTGTGGTAAGGCGTGCTGTAATCACACTGCCAACACTGTCCCGAGACTCGGGGCCTATTACACCACGTAAAATATTAATGACTCTCCAGTAAAAACCATTAAGAGCAACTCCCAGAAGAAACAGGAGCCGAAACCTCCACCCCTGCTGTGCACAGGCAGCCGTCTCTGCCCAGGCTTTAAACCACGTGGTCCCCACAAACCATGCTGAATAACAGAGCGCTTCCGTACAAGACAATATTGGCAGGAAATATTCAGTTGTTGTTAGAGGGCGGCGAGAAAAACAACAAAATAAAATGATACGACCAAAGATTGGCAGGAAATATTCAGTTGTTGTTACAAGGCGGCGAGAAAAACAACAAAACAAGAAAATGAATAATATTCAAAGAGGATTTGGAAAGTTTTTGGAATAAACTCGTATTTCAAGCAGAAAATCAAACGAAACTTCCGTCAGTTTTTTTTTTGGTGGTGGGAGGGGCTGGTCTTCTGTCTCCTCCGAGTCTTTCGGCTGCAGCTCCACTAAAGAGCCTGAGATGGATTTCGTGGTAGATGATGAATGAATGAATGAATAAATGATGACAGGCTATGGGAAATTTAAATTTTGCAAAGGATTCTGGGGTCACATGTCACTAAAGGTGTGACATCATTTCACCTAAGTATGAGCAGTCTATTTCAACGTCGGTCAAAGATTCCAAAAGTTCTTTGAGGCAATTTTGGAGATGATGTATTCACAAGTAAGAAACGTTTTTCAAGTCAATTCAACGTTGACCTTTCACCTTCCGTTCTTTTCACAAGTTCCCAACAAAGAAATGCTTTTATTGTTTTATCAGGCAGCAGCAGCAGCAGCAGCAGCAGCAGCAGCAGCAGCAGTGCATTATTTACCTCTTGGTAGATCAGGTAAAAGTCAATCAGCATTAGTGCAGCATTTTCCTGCAGCACCCCTTTAGTAACTAGGACTATCGGGGAACCTGGCCAACTTTTACTAGTATTGAAAAGAAATCTGCACATGACTGTTTCTAGTGTTTCTAATTGAGCAACGGAAACTAAATTACAAATCTGCGCATTTTAGCCAGCGTGTGACAACTGAAATTTTGAAAAAGAAAATTTGCCTTGTAGGATTCCACACACACACACACACACACACACACACACTTTGGGAACCACTGCATTAGCCTTTTGTAATTGTAGATGAATGGTCTGTACTTGACCACTCCAGTCACTTTACACTACGGCTTAGGTCCTGTGTAAGACGACAGCAACATGTACTCACTACTGCCCCCCCCCCCTCATCAATGAAAGGGTATTAGGCTAATAATGTTTGTCTTGTCCAGTGGGGGGTGACCCTGGTGGTCCTCCTTCTCCAGCTCTCATTCCCAGGAGCTGTTTGTTGATTGTAATTGAAGATGGTGGAAGGCTTTCTCTCTAGCGCCCCCTCCCTCCACAGAGTCAACAAATCCACCCCATCCCCAAAAGACATCGAGTTTAGCAGAGACGGACAGTGTTCATCCACAGTGGTACTGTTCAGAAAAAAACCTTCTGTACGTAAGTGTTTTCCCTCTCTCTCTCTGTCGCCTTCATCTTCACTTTTCTTCTCCAAAACAGTCGCCACGTTGACGCCTCAACTTTTATTTGATTTAATTATTTCATTTATTTTACTTTAATCAGCAGGTTGCAGGTTTTTAATTTATGTTGATTGTAAGACTTGACCTGCATTCGTTTTGGATTTGTCTAAGAGGCAAACACAGTTCATACATAAACAACGAACCATTAATCACGACTCATTCGTATCATTTAAAGTGTCATTGTATTTGAATTTGTATGAGATGATTAGTATTATGAGAAATTGCATCTAAAGCCCAAAGGGATTGTTTTTTTTCTAAAAAAGTGTCAAAATCTTTCAACCATGAAA